ATTCTAATAGATATACCAAAGAGAACTTAAAAAGTACTTCCATTTGGTGAAAAGGTTTGTATGTATAGGAAGAAACATAGTATATATAGGATTAGGCACTATCTGTGGTTTTAGGCATCCACTTGGGGTTTTGCACTGTATCCCCTGCAGATGGGTGGATGGGGGCGGGGGGAGCTTCTGTAATTTTACTAGAGTAGTGAGAATCTCTTATTTAGGCGTAGTAGCTTTGTTCTTGCAATGTGGCAACTTTTAAATATGTGTCAGTAATTAAATTGGAGCATTTTTTGACCTTTGAGAAACTTACTTGGTGAGCATTGGGCTTGAAGAACACCTGAAAAATGCTGATCTAGGCTCTAGTGGAATAACTCAGGCCTGTGCTATTTTCACAATTCTTGTCATTGAAGAATTTTAGCTCTTTTTGTTCCCCAATTTGGAACAGTGGCATTTGACTTCCTTAGAATTTACTTTGCACCTTGATCCATACTTCCATTAGAGTAGAAATAGATATATGTCTTTTTTATTTAACTTTATCTGTTTATATTTAAAGCTGTCTTAATGTTTTACTTCATATTTAGGTTGATAAGATATTCTTTTTTTTTAAAAATATATTTTATTGATTTTTTACAGAGAGGAAGGGAGAGAGATAGAGAGTTAGAAACATCGATGAGAGAGAAACATCGACCAGCTGCCTCCTGCACATCTCCCACTGGGGATGTGCCCGCAACCCAGGTACATGCCCTTGACCGGAATCGAACCTGGGACCTTTCAGTCCGCAGGCCGACGCTCTATCCACTGAGCCAAACCGGTTTCGGCGATAAGATATTCTTATATAAGAAAGATAAAGCAGAATTCCTTTTCTTTCTAACCTTACCTATTCTTTGGACATCTTGAAAAGAGGCTGCACAGGAATTGGTGTATCACATACGTTTGTTTCTAAACGAGATTATCTCCTAATTTTCTGACCAATATTTTCCTCTTGATTTATTGCCTTATTTTTATTAGCAGGTATTTTTTTGGTGACTGCAGCAAATGAAAAATTAATCCATTTCTACAAAACAGTATACAGTACTTGTAGGCAGTTATACAGCACTGCTCAAAATTCTTGCTTTGTAATAAGATCTCTTTAATTATTTAACTTTCGATGTTCTCTGGAATTCTTCCTTTTCCTCCCATCCAGTATTTACTTTTCATGTAAGAACCTCTAAAATATTTTTTGTTTTGGTTCTCCTAATGTAATGTTTAATATAACTTGTTGAGAAGTTAAAATTTGTAGAGGGTCACATTTATTCATTTGCAGAGAAAACGCAAAGAATAATGAATAGTATAGCCCAGCTTAGTTGTTGAGGGTCGACCTATGAACCAGGAGGTCACGGTTTGATTCCTGGTCAGGGCACATGCTCAGGTTGCAAGCTCGATCCTCAGTAGGGGGGTGTGTAGGAAGCAGCTGATTGATGATTCTTTCTCATCATTGATGTTTCTATCTCTCTCTCCCTCTCTCCTCCTCTCTGAAATCAATAAAAATATATATATTTTTAAAAAGAATGAATGATATAGTTTTACAGTAAGTTGATGATTACATTTATTCCTTAGCCACTAGTCTGATTGAATGACTATCTTTCTTTTTACCTTTGACACACTCTGGTCCCATCCCTTTTCAATGAAAATAATCTAAATGAAGATTCCATATCCTTTGTTGGCCTTGTTTTTAAAAAATTCTAGTCAGTAGTCTTTATTGTAATCTATTTTTTCTCTTGATGCTTCTTAAGCTTTGAACCAGTGTCAACCTTCTTCTCAAACATAAATTTTAGTACCACTCCCTCCCCCCTTAAATCATAAAAAAGGGCACACTTGTTGTCAGTGTTTCTATTAGTTTATGCATTCAGTTGACTAGCAGTACAGCTTGCTGTTCAGCTTTAGGAAAATTAGTTTTTAATTTGGAGAAAATGTATTAATTCAGTTTGTACATTTCTTTCTCTTTAACTTTTTGTTAATGGAAAGTTTCCAACATAGTAAAAGTAGAATAGTATCATGAACTCCCATGTAGTTGTCAGCCATCATTATGGCTAATCTTTCCTCCACCTTCTCCCCCCACCATTATTTTGAATCAAATCCCAGGTATTACATCATTTCATTTGTAAACATTTTATGAGGTATATCTGAAAGATTAGGACTTAAGCCCATAACAACAAAATCACTTAGGAATTGGCAGTAGTTTCTTATTATCATTTATTATCCAAACAATATTAAAATTTCCTATCTTAAGCTTTTTTTTACACTTCAAATTATAATCCAAGTGATGTTCATATTGCAGTTGGTTGACATGTTCTAGGAGCATTTTGAAAACACAATTCCACTTTCTTTTATAACTTTATATTTTTTAAATTTTCAAGTATTACAGAAATAATATAGTGAACACCTTATACCCTTCATCTAGAATCATCAACTTGTCACATTTAGTTTATTTCTACATGTGTATATATACTCCTCCCTCCCCCCTTTGCTCAATCTTTGGAAAATAGTTTGTACACATTTTGGCACTTTACTACTAAATATTTGAGTATTTTCTCTCCTAAGAACAAGGTAATCGCCTACATTATAACAATACCATATACCATATCCAAGAAATTTGTGTTTATACTGTATTATATAATGTGCAGTAATTTTTCCTGTGTGTACTAATGTCCTTTATAGATTTGATTATTACATTTTAAATCTAGGGTCTGGTCAATTGCATTGATGGAATTGTTTTATATGTGGGGTATCAAATAGAGTAGCTACTGATAACAGGTTGTTACTGAGTACTTGAAATATAGCTAGTGCTGCCCGGCTGGTGTGGCTCAATGGTTGAGCATTCAGGAGGTCACAGTTCTATTCCCAGTCAGGGCACATGACCTGACAGGGCACATGACCTGACTGGGTTGTGGGCTTGATCCCCAGTTTGAGGCATGCAGGAAGAAGCCCATCAGTTATTCTTTCTCATCATTGATGTTTCTGTCTCTCTCCCTCTCCCGTCCTCTCTGAAATCAATAAAAATATATTAAAATCCTATATAATAAAGAGCTAATATGCTAATTAGACCAAACAGCAGAACAACTGTTCAGACTACCTTCTGGATTACCTTCCTGATGAAGCTGGGGGTGTAAGGGCTGACCGAGGCAACCAGGGCTGCGAGGACTGAGCCCCTTGCACGAATTTCGTGCATCGGGCCTCTAATTATATATATATATATATATATATATATATATTGCCTGACTGGCGTGGGCTCAGTGATTGAGCATCCACCTATGAACCAGGCGATCAGAGTTCGATTCCTGATCAGGGCACATGCCTGTGTTGTGGACTGGATCCCCCGGAGGGAGCGTGCAGGAGGCAGCCAGTTGATTATTCTCTCTCATTATTGAGGTTTCTATCTCTCTCTTTCCCTCTCCCTGCCTCTCTGAAATCAATAAAAATATATTTAAAAAAATATATGGCTAGTGAACAGAGGAATCGGGTTTTAAATTTTATTTAGTTAATTTAAATAGGTGGCTACTGTATTGGACTGCACAGATATAGAACATTTACCCCATTTTAAAAATGTGTTTTATGGCAACTTTTTTCAAGAGTCTTAGCTGGTTGTTTGGTAGAGTGTCCCTCAATCTGAATTTATCTAGCTGTTTCCTCACGATAAATTCATTTTAAACATTTTTGGCAGGAATACATAGATGTCCTTGATGGGAATACATTGACTCTTTCATAGTACATCATAATAATAGGGCATATCATGTCATTTGTTGTAGTTTTAGAATTCCCTTACCTTTTGAGGATATTTGGGGAGGGGGGAAGCACTGGGAGAACAAAGATAAATAAGATATATAATATAGCCAGAGGGAAATACTCTTAGGTGATGCAATATAAGACCAAATAAAATGTGTTAAAAATACTTGCTGTAGGAATTTAATAACATTCATGCAGTTAGTTACTTATCAAACCTTTACTATTTGCTATAAGCTGGAGATATAGCAATGAATAAGGTAGACAGTTTTGTTCCTTACAGAGCTTTAACATTTAGTGGAAGGTGTAGACACTAAGTAGTATTGATAAGTGTCATGTAAAATCTTAAGTTGCTTGTTTTGAATAATTATTTAATTACAATTTATCTTTAGTGTAGGAGGCAGTGATAAACATGATCTTTCTCTCCTGTTACAATAATTCTTTGGGATTTTGGCATGTTTATGAAATTGGGTTTTTCCCTATACAGCCAAGAAAAATACCTTAATGTGCGTGATAATACAAATTTATTTTTATTTTTCTGTGGTACAATGTCAGTGTATATAGGTTTTTTGCTAAGGGTACAATTAAAATACTCTCATGGTCTAATTATTTTTTTAATACTCATCCGAGGATATATTTTTATTGATTTTTAGAGAGAGAGGACTGCAGGGGTGGGGGGAGGAGGAAGGGAGGGAGAGGGAGGGAGGGAGGGAAGGAGAGAGAGTCAGAGAGAGAGGAAGGAAGGAAGGAAGGAAGGAAGGAAGGAAGGGAGGGAGGGACGGAGGGAAAGAAAAACAGAAACAGCAACTGTTTGCCTCTTGTACGTACTTGCCCGGGATCAAACCACAACATAGGTATGTGCCCTGACCAGGAATCAAACCTTTGTTGTATGGATGACACTCCAACCAACTGAGCCATCTGACCAGGGCTTTCATGGTTTAAGTTAGATCTAAGCCCATAAACTATGAAATTTCTTTAAAGCAAGATTTATTAATTGACTGGTGAATCTTTCCCTCTGAAATGGAAAACCTTTGTTTCTCTTAATCCAAGGGAAATTGTTAAAATAATGGTTGACTCTAATCAGTGACTGTTTGAAAATAAAACTTTAAATTTATGCATTTTCTGTTCAGTTTATTTGCAGTTTTCCCTGCAAATGTATCTTCTACCTTTATGTATCTTTTATGTCAACTATTGGATGGGTCTGTTCAACACTGAGTATTGCTGTTTCTTTTTTTCCCCTCACTCAGAGATATACCGCATTGTTTCCCAGAAGCAAATGTCAGACAGACGTGAAAATGACATGTCTCCAAGCAACAATGTGGTTCCTATTCATGTTCCACCAACCACTGAAAATAAGCCAAAGGTGCAGTGCTGTCAGAACATATAAGGCGTTTCTCTTCTCCCATAGAAGGCTGTGTATAGTCCATTTCCCAGGTCTGAGATTTAAATATATTTGTAATTCTTGTGGTCACTTTTGTGTTTTATTACTTCCTCATCCTTAACAAATTTTCTGTGTTTTAAGTCTGATTTTAGCTTTATAAAATCATCCATTTGTCCCGAATGACTGCAGCTTTTTTTCATGCTATGGCTTCACTAGCCTTAGTTTAATAAACTGAATGTTTGGATTCTTCAATGATTGTTTCCTTTTCATCATGGAAACCTGTCACTGTAGGACATAATAGAACTTGATCACTTGAAGCTCAGACCTGTTGGTCTTGATCAAATCAAGCTAAGAAGACTTTAGAAATAAGCTATCATTTTGCCACAGAGCAGCTTACAATTCATGCACTCTTCTCTCAGTGCGTTATATATTACCACAAAGCTAAGGATTGCCCTATAAGCATAGCAGGATTTTGAGAGCTTGAAAATTTTCCATTATTCTGGAAGTCACTTTCTAAAATGCCTTAATAGGGTTATGTACTTTTTGTAAGCATCGAAGTTGATTCGAGAGGGCACCTTTTTTTCTGGGCAAGAATTATCTTAATAAACACAGAAGATTGTATTGTGGTTTTCAGTTGTGTTATGGTTATGGGTTCTGGAGGCTGGGAATTGGAGAGACTGATGGAGTTCTACCTGAGGTGCTTCTGTTGGAATGATCAGGCAGCCTAAGTTTAATGATAAGTCATCTAATTTATCTAATATCCCAGCAGTAGATTAGGTGGCATTTTATTGCTCAGGCAATAACTGGTTTAATGCTCTTAGTATCAAATTGTGAAGTGGTAATTTTTGTCTCAAAACCTTCCATTAAATGAAATGCAACCTAGTTTATCACCATATTCACCAGCAGGCATGGATAATTCTTTTAATAATGCTGATTGTTTAGTTTTGCAGTATATTATGGAATATAGTCCAGTTAAATATCTGGTTTCAGTATGTCAAAAGAATACAGTGAGAGGTTAATTTCTACTCAAGTAGTATCACTTAACGGCATGTATTCTTTTAGTACTTAAGATGAAATAGTACTTTGAGTTTAAATAGAATGCATTTAGGCCATTATACAGACCTGAAATAGTATTCTTCCACTACATTATTGAAATCAATGGAGCAACTAGTTTCTCATTCAAAAATGTGCACACTAATATTTAGTTTTACTTTCTTGTGGATAATATTAAGCACTTACTCTGCAGTGTTCTGAAAGTTGTGTCAACTGAAGTGATTCTATTCAGGATGGTGGAATATCCCCAAAATATATATATGTGTGGGATTGCATAGATTACTATGTTTCACAGTTAATCTCCTGTCTTTTGCGATGCTCATGATGTGTGGGGCACACTGAAGGCATTGCTGTGGTTTGTCATTTTGGTTTTCTTATTTTAGTGTATTAGTATGATAACTTATCTGTTTGTAAATCACTACTTTGTATTTTATGCATGCTCTGTAACTTGGCTTTTTTTTTTTAGTTATTGATTTGGAATATATTCATATTCTAATAAACAGTTATAGGGGGACTATTCTTTATGTTGTCAGATTACATTTTCCCTTTGCTTTGGATATAGTCATAGAATATTTGATTCTAATGAATGAGATATTATAGGTTCTTGCATTACAGAGTAAACATGGAGTTGGAGGCACCATTGTGTGAATTCAGCTTTGGTTTTAGACATGTAGTTCAATTGTGCTTTTCTTGGAAAAAGTATTACCAGAAATACAAAGGACGTAATTAATCTCTGTACTTTCATACATAACCCTGTCACTAGACCCAGGAAGAGGCTCCATTGCTCCTTATTTTACTGAAAATTAGTAGTCAGTTTTTTACAAAATTATTTAAGAGAAGGAAAAAATAGGTAGTGAATTGAAAATGATAAAGTAACTGAATTTTTATCAAGTATAGACTTAATGTTGCTTTGGGCATGGTTGGATCTTGGGAGCAGTACAAGAAACCAGAAGTAATAGAAAATGGCTTTGATTGCATTTCAAGTATCTTCATCCTGAACAGTATCTCATGAGACAAACTGTTTCAAGTAAGAAACATTAAATTTTAAAATATGACAGTTAGGACCCAAGGCAGTTTAGTAGAAATATTTTGCTGCTTGACCCTACTTTTTAGTTTTTTTAACTTTGATTTTTTTAAAAATTTATTATATTCTCCTGAAAATTCAGCCATCTTGACTTGTTAAACTTCTTTGTAAATGTTCTCAAGTGCTATCTATGATTTCTTTTTAATAGGAGTTACTACTCTGTAAGAGTAAGTTTTTAAATTTAGCCATTGCATTGAGTATGCTAAATTCTAAGAATACTAGCTGGTGAGTTATGCCAGAAGTTTTTTAAGTTCTGAAGGGTTCTGCAGGAAAGTTAAACTTAAGGGTTTGGATTGCCCATTAAATCTAGGCATATTTATTTAATCATTGGGAAAATGAACATCTTAAATTTTTGTTTTTATTGACTTGTATTTACAAAATACAAATGCTCTTAGTGGTTTGAGCTATTGTGTTTATCTCTTCCATCTACCTTAAAGAGACAAAATGACTGCTTAGACAATTTTGGCCAGTACCAGAAGCAGAATAATTCAAGGACTGAGTGGATAATTAAGAACATATTCCAACCTGTTAGGTTTCAATTTATGGAGTTCTTTTAACAAAGGAGAAAATGGAGATTGGTTTGCTGTTTCACAAACACCATAAGCCTGAAAAAAAATTTAAAACAAAATATGAATTTTGTATAAAGACTGTGTATGATACTCATTCCCTGTGTGAAAAAAAATGAACAAAGACCATGAAAGGATCCTCTCCCACCACGTCATTTATTGGATTAGCATAACAGTCAGACTAGAGCTGAAAAGAACAGGGCTGATGTTTTTCTCCTGATTGGGGCTGTGCTGGTGCCATACCTCTTTTCTGTCACCTTTTCTACCACCTATACACTGTGCCAAATAAACTAGAGTTGTCATTCTAAAGTTTTAAAGAATGGTGTGTTTTCCCAAACTGTAGGAAGCTGATGGAAATGATAAAACAATACAAAATGCTATTATCACTACAACTTATGTAAGGGAAAACCATTAGTCTGAGAGATAATTTTAATTGAAGTATCTATTTCCCTGAAAATTGAATTGGAAGATAAAAAAAGACTATTTGAAAGGAACTTGATACTAGGCAGGTAGGAGAAAATAAGCAAATTCTGTAAGTTAAAAGAAAGTATAATAGAGCACTGGACTGGGTGACAGAGACGTGGATTCTAGCCACAGCTCTTTATTCGTTTTATTTCTGAGCCTCACCTTCCAGTTATTGAGGGGACTAGATTAAATTATTTGTGGGGTTTACCCCAGCTCCAATTCAGTAATGCTATGAATGAACTCTCTCTTCATGTACTAGAGCCAAATTACTCATTTTAATTCAAATTTAATAGATAAGTAAAAATGAAGTATATACTTTGCTTGATGATTTTGGTTTTATCATCATAACTTGATTAGAATGTTATCTTTATTTTCATTTTAACTCCATTAAATAAGATGAAAGCTTTCAGAACATTTGCAAAATGACTGTCAATTTCACAATATGGTATGCATCAAAGTACCATATGCGCTAAGCGGGGAGGAGCACTTGATGGGCTGCTATGTCAACTGTAAATTGAGAACTGCTTGTTTTTTGGCTTTTACTATTAAAATTGCTGGTTTTTAATATACACTTTAAAAGATACTCATGTCTGGGAGAGAACTTTTAAAAACATACTGTGTTTAATTTTTTAAAAAATTTCTAATAGGAATCTAAAAGAAGGTAGGTCAATCCACAGCACTAGCTATTGAGTAGAACCAATTATTAAAGAACATGATATTAATGGCATTAGATCTTAGATCTTATTATCCCCATCCCAATGAATAAGTGTACTACTGCTTTTAGTACCCATTCCCCTACTGAGAACTTTCAGTCTCTCAGCATACCATCTTCTCAGATCTCTATAGGGAAGTGGTATGGTTCCTTATCTGTAAGAGGTTTCTGACTATATTGTACTAGCCTCTCTGTCAAAGCATTTCATCATATAGACCTAAGAATATTATAGTTAGTCATGCCTGAAACAGGACAGTCTGGGAAACCCCAGGATTCAACACTTTTCTGTAGGCTATCTTTGATATGAAAGCAGTTCTGGAGGAGGATGTTAGGAATCTGTTACTAGTCTAGGTTTACATTTAAGTGGATGCCTAAATAACAGCACTTCGTAAGATCTTAGGTCCCCATGTTTTCTCTTACACAAGGCTCTGGAGGGTCACCTGCTGGGCCAGACAATGGCTTGGGAGGCAGAAGCTGGAATGAGGAGGGATTCTGACAACTCTAGCTACAGACCAGAGCATCTACCTTATGTGGGTTTGGATTGGACCACTGCTCGGGGTCTTTCTAGCTCTTCAAGTCCACTAACCACCTGGCCCTCCATTTACTCCTGCCCTTTTTTAATTGCTACATTGTAAGATCCACAAGGACAGGGAATGAATGTGCTTTGTTCATATTTATATTCCTACTATTTATCCCCCACCTTTAACCTTGTGTTAGATGATAAGGAAGAACCATCTTAAAGAGTGAAGGGGCTCACCTTAGGGTTCATTTTAGTTTAGCTTGGGAAGCTATAGTTTGACGATTACCATTCAGGTTAAAAATTTTTAAATTATAAATTATAAAAAATTATAATTATGTAAACAATATTTAATTATACAAAGTTATAAATAGTATAATGAGTCCCTATGTATCCACCCATCCCTTCTAAGAAGGATTTTCCATCTCTTCTTTTGCCACACACTAGATGAATAGCTAATAGAATGCATCATTCTTGAATCTTCTCTGTTGAGTACAAAACCTGCAGTATTTATGGTGTTGGGTGGTATTCTGAGCCTCCTAAGTCATAATCTTGAACTATTGTTCTCACTAAATGCCCTTTTTAGCCTTAAAATTTTTGATTATGTTTTATCTTTTATTAAGATGTCAAGGTCCAGCCCTTGAGAGTTGTTCATTGTTAGGAGAGGCGGGTCTTTTCTGAACAAGTTTTAATCTCAAACTAGCAAAAATGTATTCTTGGTTAAACATTTTATTAAATGGGAGTACTTTTTGAGTATCACATAAGCCTTGTAAACAGACCAGTTGAAATGTTGTAATTTGACTTAAGTATGTACAAACCTTTGAAAGTCTGAAGGAGAAATTTTAAAATTATACCATTAAATACATTCAATAAGCTGTTTTTTTAGCATCTGTATTTTATAATAAAATTAATCCTGCTTCTTTACTAGTTAGGTCACAAGGTTATGTTTTAAAAGGTCCTAAAATAGTTGCATCCAGAGTATAGTACTGGGTGATAACTTCTAATGGAAAGCTATTCATTGCTCTTATGCAAATTAGGTGGCCCTTATATTTGCCTTTATCCCCATTCCATAGAACAGCAGTCGCCGGGTCCGAAAGTTGGCGACCGCTGCCATAGAGAACTACCTTTGTGCCTCTGAAGCTGAGCACAAGCTGTAATAGTTGCCTTTGAGTCCAACTCTTTGTGAAAACGAGAAATTCTCTATTTGAGTATACTGTTTATGAGCTATTTCAGTAATTTTTGGATATGAATTAAGAATATGTAGTTCCCATTCATTACTTTAAAGGAAGAGACTCTCTTGTTATAAATTTGATAAAACTTTTTCACTTTATGTTCAAGCACCCATGAGGTAATTTTCACTCATCTAGCAGTCTAAAGTGACCACACAAAATGTAGGTTAGTTTTACCTTTACTGGTAAACCTGAGGTGTAGATTTTAGACACATTTTTGGTTTGCAGCACAACAGTAGGCATTCCTGTAAATTACTTTGAGAAATTAATTTTATTTTGTACAAGGTATGATCGCTCTGCACAGTGAACAAATATATTACAAGTCTGCGTTGCTTAAAAAAAAGTATTGCCATATCAGTCTCACTTATGCTGTTGTACAATGATTGTTTTCTTTATTCATTTGAATTATATGCACATCACTTTGAGTGAAGACTTAGTTTCTGTATAATACTTGAACATATCTTTCCAAGTTGTCAATAAAATGCACATGTTTAGGTTGACCATGAACTTATTTGTGACAGTGCTAGACAGAAGTTCCTAACAGTTGCCCTATAAGATTGAAATGTCTCTTACCAGTAACTCTTAGGTATGTGAAGACAACTGTTGTCACCATCAAGTAATCACACCCTCTGTCTTTCCCTTTTCCTGTATTGCCTGATTTAATTTGTGGTACATTTCCTTAAAAATCAGAATGCTAGAGTTGAAGGGTTTTAGGGTTCCCTTACCCCTATTTGCTTCTTCCTTTTTTTACACACAGCGGAAAAAGAGCCCAGAGAAGGCAAGTAACACTCAAATCTCTTGATCCAGTGCTTTAGCAATTCCACCATGCCACCTCTTGCTGAAATTTGCCTAGAAGACAGTTGGCAAAAAAGAGGTGAAACTTGAACTTGAGTGATAGTGCTTGTTTGCAGTTTGCCAGGCAGCAGTTACTGTACATGCAGGGTAAGGGAAGAAGATAAAACCTGGGTTTGAGATGAAGTTCTCCTTGCTGATCTGACTTCACCATGATTCTTAGTTCTTGCTTCACAAAGGTAATTGAGCACTTGCTGCCCTGAAATACTGAGGTAAGCCTCTTATCTATATTTTTTTCTACATATGTATGAGAAATATTTACTTGGGTCTACAAAGTAATTTTCTAGTATTTATATTTAATAAGACTTTTTGGAAAGTAAATTTGCTATTGCTGATTGCTTGCTCCCATGCACACATGCAGCATTCATGTTAAGTATTAGATTATTTTCCCCTAACAACATTTGCTTAGGCCTTGAGTGAAGTGGGGGAGGGGAGTTATTCATTTTTGTCCTTGCTTTTGCTGATTATTGGCCAAACTAATGGGTTCCATGGCAGACTTCCAATTTGTATCAAGGACTTCAGAACTCCCACACTTCCTGTAGCAGCTATTCCAGCTTTGCAGTCATGTACTTCCTCTTCTGTATACCTTTTGGAAGTATTTTTACTGGCAGAACTATTATCAGAGAATGGAGTGGTATAGGGGTGCCCATTAGTTTTCATGGTTTGCCCTTTCAGTCTTTAATTCTTGTGAGGAGGTCCTCTTTAGGGCCTGGGAGCTGACTCCATTTAGACTCACCTGAGCCTATTTACCTATGTTCATTAGTAATGGAAGGTATAGATATGTCTGAATACTGGGATCTGGAGCATTAGCTCATTGTAATTCAGTTTTGGCCGTCTCAGCAGGTGGTGGGTTTAAGGTAGAAAGTAAAAGTTCTTCATGTCCTTATGTGCTGTTTACTATAAAGTTTTTACATCATGTTACAGCAACTGATTATAGTCCATTCTTTCATCATTTCAATTTAATTCCATCAGAAAGCATAATGTACTTTAAGCAATTTTAACTTGATATATCCTCTTTTGTTTAATTTCCTCTATACCAGGGGTGGGGAATGTCTGATTTGTGGGCCGTATAAGGTCTGAGAAATCATTTGTTCTGGCCCTGCCCAGGCATTAGTGGTGAGTTAATTAAATGTTTGACCAAATATAACAGGCTAATTTTAAGTTGATAATTTTGTATGGCCTGCGAATGATGTTATAATTATCTAAATGGCCCTTGGCAGAAAAAGGGTTCCCCACCCCTGCTCTACACTTCTAGTTCCATATTATATCCAGCTCTAGATTTATGAAGAAATGCTTGAAAGCAAGTACTCTTCTGAGTCAAGGAATGCCAACCAAATAAACTTGATGAGAGGCTAAATAGCCATTTTTAGGGATACTTAATTCTTATCAGCCTGTGACTGCTTGCTTAAAGCATCACAGTTTTATTTCCCATGGAATGACTCAGGTGTTGGGTGACCAAGGAGATATGACAAGGCCAGGGCTGAGTTGGCAATGTTCTGGAACTTTGAATTGGCAAGATTTGGTCAAAACCGGCCAGAAATATTGTTGTAGACTGAAATAGGCTATTGAGCTTTGAAAACATTTTTCTTCTACTACCAGCAGGGGCAGAAGAGGGAAAGTTAATTTGTATTTATGTATTATTATTATTTTACCTTTCAGTTTTATTGGTTGCATATAGCTGAACTCACAAACTCTGGTTCATTCTTAAAATGTTCTTTAAACTGAAATTGACTCTTAGAAAAAGGCTTCATCTATACTATTTTAGATAGCAAAATGCAGGTTCTTGAGTATCCTGATATACTTGGTGCTAATAAGAGAAGTATGGATTCTAATTTCTCATCTGAGATGGTAAGCCAGGTTCAGTGCTACACATAATTTGTGTTTATTTAAATCTTATTTTAAAAAATTGAAGTTGTTAGCATTAGACTACATAATAATCTGTAATATTGGCCATTGTAATTTGATAGACCAGACATATATGTACAGGTACTTTAGGATTGATATTAGCACAGTTTTTGTCTATGTACTAATTATCTTAGGTAATCAAACAGATGTTGATGGTAACAGCAACCAAAAGTACATATACTAGTACATTTTAGGTATTTTAAATTAATCCTCTCCCCTCCCCAGTCCCCCTTTCCTCCTAGGAAGGTTTATAAAACCTATTCTACATGCTCTTTAAGCATCATGTTTCAGATAATTAAATATATAAATAAATATAGTTAGCTATATTTAGCTGATGTTGATGAGTAGCTGTATCTTAAATGTTTTAAAAGATCATGTAATCCATTGGGGGTTGGGTGGGTGATAGGATTTACTTTTGCAAACAGACCTTTTGAGCAATTACCCCAGTCCCACTTGGAAGCTCTTCTTTAGTTCCAGGTGAAAGTAATAACTAACACGCAGCTGAAGTCAGTCTGTACCATTATTTCAGGTCAGGGGATTGTCTTCTTTCAGAGTCAGAGAATATTCAGCAGAGCACATTGCGAGAGAGAAGCTTATCCCTCTTAAGACTGCTTGTCCTGGGAGGGCTCATTGGCAGGACTCAGTCTTTCTGGGAGGAGGTCATAATGACCAGGAATATGGCTGTTCCTAGGTAGGTCGTATGGATTCTGGATATAGCTGGAGTTGGGACCACGGCCTTCTTGGACCACACTGACTGTGGGCTCTAAGGAATATAGTGAAAAATGAGTTCAGAGAACAGATTAGCTTTGGTTGTCATGTTGGGGGGAAGAGAGTTCTATTTAACTGGGTGGTGAGAGAAGCCAGGGATTTATAAATCTGTGATAAATATGAGGGTTAGGACTAATGCTAAGAGATGGAAAACATAAGTGAGTGTGCTGTCAGAATCCCATCCAAAGCTTGGTCAAAACCAGAGATTTAGAATGTCTTAAATATTTAGAATGGGTGGGTCCTTAATTGTGGCGTAAGGTTTTCACTGCTATTCTTAGCACTGAGCCCAGGAACATGGGTTAAACTGGGAGAAAATAGAAGGTGGTGATTTAGAAAGTTAATAAATATTCTGTTCTGATTGTTTTCTTTTTTAAACTGGGATTTGTATCAACAATCAGTTGAGGTGTATGTGTGTGTACCCACTTCCCACCCCCAGGATTTCTGCGTCATACTAGTCCTGGTATGTTTCTTTTTTTAAAGCAGAGTTGGCACAAGAATTTGATTTTCTGCATGAGAGAGGAGGGTAGTCCTGGGGAAGGCAGTTCGCCTTGGATTCCTTAAAAAGCAATAAAAAACAAAACGTGTGTTTTCAAGACAGGGTGAGTAGAGAGGGGTTGTTTTTATTTCAGATGCTGCACTATTGCCCTGATTTTGCTAAGTTACTTATTTGAGACACCTACCAACTTCATATATATTTTTATTAGATGTCGACAAGGATGGCACATCTGTGTACGGAGACCCCCTGTGCACAGGCGACTTCATTTCTACATAGCTGCTTTCTGGAAGCTTGCAGGTGAGGATGGGTGGGTCCTTAATTGTGGCGTAAGGGTTTTCACTGCTGTTCAAGGAACAAGTGCTAGAACTGCACACGGATTCTTTCATGTAATCTGCAAGGCAAGAGAGATTTCTTAGTATAAGCAAGGACATAAGACGTAGTTTAAATACCAGAAACAGACTGCAGTCAAGTTCATGTGCTTTCGGGATCCTGGAGCTGTAAAAGCCTGTGATGTCCAAGATTTACTTAGGAAAGCATTCAACGTACTTAATAAGTAGGCAGAGTTCTTTTCCTAAAAAAACTTATGTTTTTGGAGGGATAGGAACATTTTTGTTTTTAGTAGTCAGGTATAGCACCAGAGAGATTAATTTAAGATATTCATAATGTACTTTCACATCTATTATTTAATGTTTACAAAATCCTGCAAGGATAGTTGATGGTTTGCATTTTATAGGATGAAGGCCCAGAGAGAGATGAAATGTCTTGGCTAAGGTCACACAGCTCATAACTGGCAGTGCCAACACTTAAATCTATGCCTTGGGACTACTTGGCTGTGCGTTTTCTGTAATACCATTCTTTCTGAATTTGTTCTGATGATTAAGATGCTTAGGTTCAGAAGAGGTTGTGTGTGTGTGTGTGTGTGTGTGTGTGTGTGTGTGTGTGTGTGTTTTGGCACAGGTGCTAGCAATTTGGTATCCTTTCAGCAGCAAATTGGCTGCATCCCTGTTCTCTGAGAAGCTTGTGATCAGAGGTGGGGCAGATAGAAGTGTAATAGAGGTCTCAGAAACACCTGGGTCTTCAGCTAGCCTTTGGAAAGTTCCTATTTTCTCGCAAGCCTGCAATGTATTCTCTGGGGTCATTTACCTCAGTTCTTGTGAATGCTAAATGAAACCTATTTTAATAATAACTTTCTCTGATACTAAGGGAACTCATGCTTCCTCTCCTGCCACCCCTCAGGCATGCATCATCCTCCATACTTCAAGGAATGTTAGGGTAAAGAGATACAAACTAGTTTCCCAATATAAAGCCAGGTAACTAGCTCCACTAGAGAAAGTTCACTTTGTGATGGAGTCACACGAGGAAAGGGGAGCCCTTCCTTCAATCTCTACCCCATTCCCCTTTTGGAGATGATCACTGCCTCTTGTAGAATGTCCCAAGTGATCAGGGTTTTATTACTCTTACTCTCTGTGACCTGGCAGTTCTGGTCCTCATCTCTCTGAGGCTCTGCCAGCCTTGGGGGTGGGGGTGAGGGGTGGGGGGAGGGCGCGTCTAGAAACAAGCACTGAGTTGGAGGGGCTTGAAAGTCGAGAGTGATCTAAATCGCCTTTCAATTCTAAATTTCTACAAGTGGTAGCAGGTGGTGATATTCTTGGATGATCCTTCTCTAGAACTATCACAAATTACATTTGGGTTGCTATTTATCTCTGCTTTCTGCTTCCAACTTGTGAAATTGATGGAAATGTAAAGGGAAAGTGATCTTGTAACTTGAGGGGTGACTAGATGAACCTTTGTACAGTGAGAACAGAACAGAACATGCCATGTAGCTGAAGTAGTTGAGGTATGTGTTACCACAAGTAGTCTTTTCTTCCCTAATGGGGATTGTGAGGGGATTTACTTTTCTGTTGGTGTAGAGTTGATGTCTGTTTCAGCAGGTAGCATTTCTTCAATCCTGTACAAAAGTACATTGACCTATTAGTTCCTTCAAGTGTTCATAACACCCTGTGGTGTAGGTAGAGCAATAATATAATTCTCGCCCCTCCCCCCATTGCTTAGAGGAAATTGAGGCTTCATATGGGGAAATGACTTCTCTAGGGTTATACTGCTAATCAGTAGCAAAGCAAGCTCTAGAACCAGGCTCAGAGCACTTTTCCATCACAACTTAGCCCACAGTGGAGAGGGATATTGTCTTGGCTCCATCTTAGATTATGGCCTCTTTCTAGCATAAAACCCTAGACAGGAGAAAACATTCTTGCTAGACAATGAGCAGGCCCAGCCAGCCCCAGCAAGGACTAAAGGGAGGCTGCATTGTCCCAGCTGCTGTTGAGGCTCAATGGGGAAGGGGTACCTATGGGTCCTGTACCACGACCTGCTTCTAGTGAGTACTTTGTTTCTTCCAACTGGGAGTGGGGCTAAATCCAGGAACCCTGGTAGTATGGCTCATTGGTCCCACTTTGGGTGTTCTGAACTTACCAGCCAGGGAGTAAGGCAGTGTGCCTCAGTGGCTTGTTTGGAAGCTGAGGATTGGAATTGCTTAAAGAAGGGCTGTCTCCTGAGAGAAGTCCTAACAACTCACCCCTCCTGTCCTCCCAAATACATCCATTTACTTTGTTTGGCAGCTGCCTCAGTTGCATATTTTCTAGAACAGCGGTTGCCAACCAGTGTGGTCCGTGGACCACTGATAGTCCGTGAGGTTCGAAAGGTTGGCGACCACTGTTCTAGAACTTAAGGAATATCGATAGCTCCCGGTGGTCCGAGGACCACTGGTGGTCCGTGAGGTTTGAAAGGTTGGCGACCACTGTTCTAGAACTTAAGGAATATCGATAGCTCACTTTGTGTGGCACTTAAAACTAGTATTTTGGGTTAGTCATTTGAAACTTGTTATATCTGTGAAGGAGGCTGGGCAGGAAGGACTAGTATTACTACTCTAGAAGCGTGGAAACTGAAACTCATAAAGTTTGCTTAATGTTAGTAAGTAGTTAAGACTCAACCCCTGTCTTCTCTGATACCCAATCAAGGTGTTTTTCTCTCCTATCAGTTTCCTTGTGCTCCTGTGCTCTTCTCCAATATCTGTACTAAATGCAAAGTATATCTGCAACAGCTTCACCTTACCTTCAGGGAACACCTTTTATCTATAGGGCCAAGCCCTGCTGAAGAAGAAAGGCCAAGCTCTAAGCTTTTCGTGGATATCCCTTGACTGATTCAGGGATAAGGCAGTGTGCCTCAGTGAGGAGAGCCTTGGCAGTGGGAGAGCCATGGGGCTCTAGCTCAATGCCTCATAGAGCCCCAGCCAGGCAATAGTGCCCCTCTTTTCATTTCCACCAGAAAAGTCATGGCTGTTTGAAGTTTGGGGGAATAAATTGATCTGCAGCAGGGGACACACCTAAATGGATAAAAGAAAAGTTGGGGTTGTGGGGTAGGTGATTAGTGTCAGGGGGAAGCTGTGTTTTCCATAAAGAGGTCAGCAGTAAAGAAAAGGATGAAATGTGTGAGTGTGTGCGCGCGCGCACGTGTGTGTGTGTGTGTGTGTGTGTGTGTGTGTGTAGGTGAAGTGAGGTGGTAGGGAAAGGTATTGAGTTATGGAATAATCTGGATTCTGGAGCTGGTAGTTGGGGGACATCTAGGCAAGCGGGAAGCTACTCTCTTCTCCAGCTGAGTCATCTACCTGCCTGCCCAGAGGGAGGGAGATGAGGGGGAGAGGGCAGGACAAGGGGAAGAAGAACCAGCTGCTCTAAGATATTTCCTCATCCTTTTAGAGTTCCACCCTTCCGCCCCTCCCCAAGGCCAGTCCCTGCACTTCAGGGCATTTTACTAAGAAAGGGGAAGCATCAACCAAGGCTACCCAAGCTCTGGGGAGTCAGTCACTCCTCCTAGCCTGTAATTAGTATCAATATTAAAGGGTTAGCCCAATAATGCCCTAGCATTTGCTCTCAGCTAGTTCCTACCTCCCAAAAATCACACACAGCCATATACTATGGGAGGCAGAGGGAACTCTAAAATCTAATGTAGACATCTTAATTTGTAAAAGGGAGCAGCAAACCAGAAGGGGAAGTGACTTCCAAAGGCCACCTTGTAGGTGGGATCTGAATTTACCAGGGCTTTAGGTTCAAATAACATCTAGCTAAGGCCAATATTTTACTGTTGGGGAAAACCTTAGGAATCCCATCTTAGCTGACTACTATTATTAGAAGGCCACACTGCCTTTTTCTGGGCCTGAAGTTAGCATCTTCTCTGGATTGAGAGACAAGGATATGGGGAGAGGAAAGGGAAGATATCAGTCAGAAGAACCACAGTAGTTGAAAAAGTTTTCAGGATATCAGTGGGCTCCTAACTACCTTGGAACCCAAGGCAACTCCAAGAAGAGACTTGGTTAGATTACCAAAGGGCATAAGGTGGGAAAAATGGCACCAACGGTGGAATCCAGGATTTCAGGATCATGAAGGTGATGGAGGGTATTGGGGAAGATTTCTTCTACAGCAATTTGAAATGCCTGATAGACAAGGAATTGAACATGAGGTAGTTTGTTGCCAAATCATTGTGCAAAGGGGGAGTTCAGAGAATACTTAAAGACTCTTCACTCGTAATTGTTTGGTCCAGTAGGTTTAGGAAATAAGTTCATTCCTGGTACAAACTAGTTTAGTAAGTGTTTATTTAGGAGGTCAGCCAGTTACTGTGGGTTTGTTCCATGTCTTTGATAAGTACTTCTGTAAAGTTTTGAAGTGGGACATTCCATTTTCCTCTTTGACTTCTCTTGTTCAGATATGTTGGTCCCCAACACATGCTGGTACATTTGCCTACACAGCCCTCTTTTCTCTCTAAGTTAAAGGACGATTGTAGCCACAGTGGTGAAACAAAATCTGCACTCAGAGGCTCAGATATATGACCACAAAACAGGAATGAATGACACTGAAGCAGAGACAGTGCTCTCCTTAGCGTTGTTTTATATTCATGGTTGCAAGTCTGAAAGTAGCTCTAATCACAATGGGCAGGACAACACAGTGCATAGGAAAGTTGTGTGCTCATTTGTTGAGGTGTCTGGGCCTGTCTTGAGCTTATTTATGATTCAGTAATGCATATTCTTAGAGCTGGAAAGGCCCTTAATAATATTTCTGTCCAAACCTCATGCCTATTTGAGAAAGAAACAGGTCTCAGTTCACAGTGCTAAAGCAGTAGAGCTGTCTTTTCTGTATTAAGCCTTATACCTGCTGTAATGGTGCTTGCCTTCACTGGGATAGTTTAAGTCAAAACTCACAGAAAATTGCCAGAATAATGCTCCCAAGGGAGTGTTCGCTAGCTGGCCA